TGTTGAGTTTGTTCATCCTGAATAACTAAACTAGTTTGAGTTGAGAGATTCTTGACATTATCCTATTGAGGTTCCAAATCTACTTCTCGACTAATTACAGGAATAGAGACCTGCATATTGTCAGAAGCAGTAGTAGAAATCGAAAATGATTCTTCCTCAAAGATAATGTCCTTAGCCTTATTTCTCCCCCCAAACTCAACATTCTCAAAAAATATCCATTTCCCATCTTAAATATAAATCTTTAGCGGGAAAAAAAAAATAATAATAAAACCCTTAACCTTAGGAATGTTGTTGGTATTAGCAGATATATAAGTACCATATATCATAACTTAACAGAGAATAATAATAACTTAATCAACATACTCACATCAATCATACAAATTTAAATAAGCTTAGTAACATCTCAAGGAACCTAGCACAACATCAATATCAAGTCTTTGGACAGTAATATTAATTTGTAAGTGGTCGCCTTTGTGTAGTAATCAAATATTGACAAAATTCCTGTCAAAAAATAGTCTCTCTTTTGAAAGACATATTATTCACATGGATATAAACCATATATTGTCATATATTTACCACCACAGGTATTTATATATTTTTGCCAAATGCTAATCTTCCTTTGGGCCGATTAAACAATCGCATGAAACTATACAAATACAAACATCTAAAATTCTCGACAAATAAATCTACACAAGAGAGGTCACTTTTGCAACTTCTTGCTTCAATAAACTCATCGTGAATATTAGACAAATTATAATAGGAACATGAGATGTATCAAAACAAATTTAAACGAAATGATTGAAATATTTATTTATATATGTGCAATCATTAAATTAATTTACTATATATTTGCACAATCAATAAATAAAACGAAATCAAAACTTAGAGAATTAATCTCATTTTGGTTTAACCATAGTGAATCCTTAATAATAAATTTGACAATGTAATCAATTATAAAGCAGACATATAAATTAGTAAAACTTGTATCTTTTCACATTAACAACCTAATAGCGCACTGGAAGCGAATCACTTGAAATGCTGTCTTCACCCAGCAACTAGGGATCTATTCCCAGAGGTTGCGACTTTTTTTTTTNTCTTCAACCTGTAGCGGGTCAACCGACCCGGTCCGAACCCGCTGCAGTTCAGCCCAGAAAACAGCCATACCCAAATGCTTTGTATGCGAATTTTACACCAAAAAATTATGAAAAAATCACAAAAATTCACGAAATGGAGTATAAATCAATACATTCTAAAAAATGATAGGAGAAAAATTCAACAACTAAAATCACCCAAACTTTTTATTTACGAAAATGAAAAAAAATTGAAGATTCCAAGTTTCATCTTGAATCAAACTACTTGCAACTAAATTCATAGTCTCAAATCCCAACATCAATTGTAAATAATTGAAACTAAAAACAATTGCAAGCATTTACCCACACATGAAAATAAATAATTAAACTGAATTCAAAAAATACTGAAATTAACGTCATAAATTCATGACATTAAATAAATCCGTAAATACATTCTCAATAATTATAAGAGAACAATTCAAGCACCATATTTATCTCAAAGTCATAAATTTTTTTCATAAAAATAAATTAATAATTTATGAAAATTCTATGAATCTTAAATCCAACTAATTTGAAATTAAATTTTTACAGTTTGTGAACACACATACAATAACAATTCCTCACAATAATTTGAAAATGAAGCCAATTACAGAATTCATGATATGGCAACAGCAAATATCAAACCACTGAATTGAAACTAAAGTCATATATATAGATTCAAAATCAAATTCGATTTTCAAAAAAACAATATGAAAAAGTTCTGATACCACTTGTTGAAAATTTTAACCTTATGCGAATAAAAACATCGCTTTATCCCAGGAGCATTCATATCGAATAATTGAGAATCAAACCGAATAAAAGCGGAAGCGTACCTAACTTCATTGAATTAAAAATTCATCTGTTCTTTGTTCTTCAGTTCCATGTGGATATCTACTTCCAAATGATCTTGTTGGACTGGTATGGTCTTCCAAACGATCGAAACCTTATAGCAGATTTTTATCCATAGTGTTTGTATTGGTATATATCTTTTGTATATACCATTATTCTGAAGTGAGAAGGTGAGTACTTTTAAAGGGAGAAAGCACCCCTTCATAAATCTGCTCGTGTCTTTTCGTCGTTTGGGGCCATAACCAAATAAATAAGAAATATTGATTTTCAGTTCGGTCCCTCAACAAACAGAAAATCACATAATGGTATCTACACTTTTAAATCCATAACAATTTGATACTCTCTTTATTCAAAATTACAAATTAGTAGATCACTTTAATTGAATAATATTATGACAACTATACACATTTAATTTACATATGTTGTCCAATAAAATATTTCTAACATTCTCATCTCAGAGACATTCAAATCTCTTCTCCAATCTCTCTCACTCGTAGCAATTAAAAAAAAAATTATTTTTCTCGCTGCCATTGTTACCGGAGGACCACCATCGTCTCCGGCGAACCTCACCATCCTCGCCGGCGTCTCCTTGTTGCAGCAGCTCCTCCGTCCGTGCACGTAGCCGTCCAACCCCGTCCCCTCGTCACAGCAACTCCGCCCGCGAGACACCAGCAGGCCGTCGCCATTCTTCCGGCAACCCTGTTCGCCGGCGTTTCCTTGTTCTGACCAGTCTCCGTCCATCGTCGAGTTCGCGAGCAGCACCTTCGAGAAGTTCCGAGTGCCATTTGATTCTTGTCCGCCGTCCCGTTTTCCGATAGCTCGAAATTCCTGAAGACGGGTAACCTTTCGAATCCATATTTCGAGTTCGTATTCATTTTTCTCTCGCTGTATATTATCGTGCTCGTTCATGCAATTCGTTGGATTCGATTCTCGTTGTTCGCTTGTATTTTAATATCGGACCGTATGTTCATTCATGTGTTGTTATATGTGAAATTTCGTGGAAAATCGGAACTCTTGTTTTGTGTAAATTGATTCATGATGTTGCTCTGATAAATTGTATTTTTAGCCACTGCCGGCGATATTTTGAGCCCCTGTTTTGTATTTTCTGTTCGCAATTCAGTTTCTATAGCAGGCCTTTGGTTTAAATTTAAGTATCTGTTATTTTCATTTAAGTTCACGACCAAGTCGGTGGTTCAGTGGTGTACTGCGTCCACTTCCGTACTTGATGTCCCGTGTTCGAAGCCTCCCAGCAGTGCTTTTTAATTTTTCGCCTTCCTAAGGAACGCGGGCCGCTTGGCCCGTTTCAATCCCGCGCGCGGCCCGCATTCTGTCAGCTTACTCCATCCCACGAGGCCGGTGTCCAGCCCGCGCTCCCCTCACTCCCTTCAGCCTGTGAGCCCGTAGAAGCCCGCACCCCAGCCCGCGTTGCTTGCAGCCTTCCAGCCCATTTGTTTTGAGTGTTGGGCCCAATACCATTGTTAAATTTTGGCTTATTTTCGCGGCAGAGTTTTTCCAGCGCAGCCCAGTTGGCCTTTTTGGTTAAATTTTTAGTTCCGGAAGCCCGTTTTCAATACTAATTTCTATTTTAAAAACTTTTTCAACCTTGGAAAAATTTGAAAAAAATTATTCCAAGTCCCGAGACTCTAATTTTAGTCCTCCGAGTCCTATTTTTAAAAAATGTGAGAGTTCTAAGTCCACGAAAAATTCTATAAAATCCCTTAATCATTATTTTTGATTAAGTGTGATTTATATATTAATTCTGAGTAGTGAGATAAATTATTAATCATTATCTCGCTTAAATGAGGCGTTTGAGGAGTCGAGCCCTCGACCTACGTACCGGTTATTGTGTGTGATTATCTACCTCGATTTCCAGGTGGATAGTTATTCTAAAATTTCTATGCATATGTGTGTTTTAATTGTGTTGAAAATTTGGTATGATCTTTGTATGCATGTGAACATGTAGCCTATCGATGTGAGCTGTTACGGCCATTGGTACGGTTGTCCCCATCGAGTTACGGTAAGGTGCCCTTGTGTGGCAATCTCCTTAAGTCTTGATATGGCCGTGCCCGTGTAAGCCCATATGGAAGGCCGTGTCCGTTACAGTGACTCGTACTCCCGCCTTCGGGTAATGAATCCCCGTTCTGCGGCTAGCGATAGATGTGCACAAGAGTAAAGTTAAATGGTGTGATATTGAATAGGAGATGAGACATGATGTGATTATTGTTTATGTTCATGTTGCGACCATACCAATATTATGTTATTCATATGCATAGTGTGAGTACGATATTTCCAACTGTACTCACTCCCACCTGCTCTTCACGGATGCAGGTTAAGCAGCTGGCGGGTGATGAGGCAAGGCGAGTGGGTGTCTTGCTTTTTAAGACTATTATTTACTTCCGCATTTATGAACTTATTATGGTTTATTTGATCATGTTTGAACTGGTTTGACTTTGGAAAAATGTTGGACGGATTTGAACTTTTGGGATTATGCTTTTATTTAATTGTTATTTTGGACTTGATAAATGTGTAGGTTCTTTCTGATCTATTTTGTATGTTTGATAAATTACTCTTGGTAAAATAAGCAGCGCCCATTGAATTTTAAACGTAAACGAGATTTGCGGTTATGCCAGTTTGATATCAGATTTTTTTTTTTACTTAGATCAACGAACGACCGAACTATATAAAAAATACAATTTATTTTTATTATATTTTTTATGTAAAATATTGTTATTTTACAGCCATAAAGTACAAAAATATTATATGTAAAATTGAAACATTAAAATATTAATATAAGTTTGAATTATTATAATTTCACCCATAACCTAAAGTGCAATATATAAGGAAATGCTGAAATTACAACTAGACCCCTAAAACTTGTCAAATTCACAAAAGCAATCCCCCTATCCATAAGTTGAAAATCGTTTCATTTTCACGCATTCATCTCCCGCCGGCACCTCATCCTACGGCCACCGGTGGCTATTCGCCGGATGCCGTCGCAGCTCCACCATCATCGACCACCTCGAATTTAACAAACACCTTATCATGCCGGAGGGCCAAGCTCGCCGGCGGCGCACGCCGCTGCAACATGCGTTCCCCATTGGCCACGGCGTCGTCATCGGGAGCATCTCTTGTTCAACGGCGGGAGTTTTGTGGCGCACGGCAAGTTGCAGAGTGAAGGCGATGGCGGCGGGTGGTATACGACCGGCGGCAGGCGGATGGTGGCTGGATGGGGCAACGGCGTGGACAGCGCTGGGTGAGGTCGGAGGCGACGGGCGGTGGCTGTGGGCTGGGTGCCGCCGTCTGTGCGTGCGTGTGTGTTTGTGTGTTCGTGCAAAAAAAAAAAAAAAATCTGGTTTTGTGTGTGTATTTGTGTGTAGGATAGAGGGGAGGGGAAAGGTTAATGGTGGGGCCCACTACAAGTGGTGATTATTTAATGAGTATGTAATGACTATTTTATCCCTATTTAGTGGTAAAAGACATATATTTGACCACGATTTATACACTTATTTACCACACTGCCATCCATATTAATCATTATTTATTAAATTTTAGTTTTATCATGACCACTGATTTAGTGGATCCAATGGTCCAACATCATTCTTATTTCTTTCACTAATCCTCTTTCTCATATGATCCTTTCTCATTCTGTCAATATAACTTAACTACAATTATGTAAACATATTTTAGATTAAATGTGGTGAATATTGAAAATCAAAATTTTGCATTTGAATTTACAATTTCAGATTTTTTTGTGAAATATATTTTATTAATCCATATGTCGAGATCCAAGAGCTATACTCCCGCGAGATGCTCGTCGACATGGAATCCGGGGTCGGCTACAACCTTTATTGGTTGTTCCAGTGCCTGCTTGCACTGTAACACCCCGCCTTCTATTTCTAGATTTATAAAAATCAGAGTTAAATATTTGCTTTTTATTTTCAAAAAACGCTATCTTTATTTTTGAAAATGTTATTACTGACTCGCAGAATGTTACTAAACTTTTACTGCTTTACTTATCTTTTCTCATGCAGACATAATATACTAGTAAGCTAGTAAGCATCCCGTGTCATGCACGGTCGAGTTTGTACCTTAAAACTTTTTTAGAAACTTTATTTTAACAATGTATTAACCTGTTGACCCGTTTATATTAATATAAATAATATTTTAAAAAATATATTTGTTTTTTTATACATAAATAATAATTTTACTTATTATTATTCATCATAATACTTAAATACTATTTTATTCTAGAATTAGGTTTCATATAGTTTCATTATTATTAATTATCGCACTTATAAAATTATTATTTTTTATATAATGATAAGTATTTAATTTACGTTAATATTATTTATTGATGTAATTAATTTAAAAATATATAAATATATTTAAAATAAATATTGTGCCATATATCAATTCTATTCAATTTTCAGAATTTATCGTATCTCATAATAATTAAAAATAAAATCATATAAATACGATTTTATGACAATATTAAATATAGTAATCCAAGATAAAAAAAAAAAATGTAAATGCAGAACTTTCCTGGTGATGAAAACAAGGTTTGAATCCATTTGAGGTTGTCAAAATATACAAACATCCAGAATAGTGTACTCAATCAGCAACTTATAATACCAAATACCAAGACAAATAATAGTAATAAAAGCATACAACAGATAAAAATGCAAATTCAGAAATCAATTATTAATAAACATCTAAATATCCCACGGATACTAAGCACTCAAGGTTTAGAAGTTTAGAAAGTTACATTACCCTAATTCAAGAGTAACACTAATGCATTAGCTTCCATTAGAGATACCAAGTAAATTAAAAGGTTGCCAAAAGCTGCAGCACAGACGATTAGGTCAAAAGTTTCTTTGACAATGCTCTTTCGGCTTTCTTCAGAAATGAAAGACGATATTCTCGCAAGGCCATAATAAACTGGGAATCTTGCACCTCGTCCTCAGGGCATTCATAGGAGCAGTGTGTTCTCCTGTAAATACAACAGCACTTGCACCTAACTTTAGCTTCTTTCCTATGACACCAAAAAATCAATCCAAAAAATCCAATCATTTTTAACTCAACCACTTTTTTTAACTCAACTTTAACTCAACCCCACTACCATTAATTTTATCAATATAATTAAATAATATCAATCAATCATTCTTATACACAACATCAACCTTAATTCACTATTCATCAACTCACATAATTTTAACTAACCATCACATCACATCACATCTCTCTCTTACTTTTACATCAAATTAATTTTAATCATTTTATTTTAAATATTATTTTAATTTACCCACTAACAACTAACCATACCAATTTTTTCAAATTTAACCAACTCATACCAAAAAATCCAATCAAAACCAAAAAATTTTATATCCAAGCATGCTCAGTAACTTAAAAGGTTCCCAAAAGCTGCAGCACAGACGATTAGGTCAAAAGTTTCTTTGTCAAGTTTCTTTGATAGTTCTTTGACAATGTTCTTTCGGCTGTCTTCGGAAATGCAAGACGATATTCTCGCAAAGCCATATATTGGGCAGCTGTCACCACGTCCTTAGGGCATTCATAGGGGCAGTGTCTTCCCATGCAAATACAACATCTCTTGCCCCTAACTTTGGCTTCTTTCCTATGACACCAAGTACAAGCCCACTTCTCCTCATCAAATTCACCAGGGTCATCAAAGGCGCAAACTGCTGTGAAGTAAACCCGGTTAAAGTCAGCCCCTTGCGGCAAAATGCTTTCATAAGGGCAGCGCCTATATATGTGATGCCTATAACAAATAGTACAGGGGCAAGCTTGCCGAGGAAGATGCTCTAAACAACACTTGCTGCAAAACTCAGGTGGAGGGAAACTAAAAATTGGATTGCTTTGTGCAGCAGAAACAAATAGGGATACCACCACTCCTCCTGAAACCTGTGGAATAGAGGAGGGTACTAGTTTGCTCTCCACCTTGTTGTTTCCTGTTCAGTTAAATAATTACAACAATAAAACAGTACATCCTCAAACAATATTAATCAATTCTAGGAAGTAGGATATCAATCACCATTGGATCACTTAGATTGCCATATAGTATTCTAGGAACAAATCTGACCTAAGAGTGACTTGATTATTACAACCTAATTGCACAAATTCAAAATAAGCACCACAGAGTAGAGAAAGCAACATTGGAACTATTAGTTAACCAGAACAACGACCAATGTCAGCAACCAAAATCAATTCCAGAACTCTGTTGGTTAGACGGGACATGAAACTGAAGGGAATCAAGATAATGAGATCATACGGGACATATGTAACACTAACAACAAAATTAAAACTGAGAAGGGAAGCAAACTGGATCCTAAAGAATAAATTTCATATCAAATAAGAATTTGAAGGGAAATTCCATACCAGCAGAAGCGGCTCTGGTTGATGACAGAGTTTCAAGGGAGGGCCAACTGCGTGATTTCCTCATCCTCGTACCTGATATATTCTCAATTAGTAACAACATTATAAATCAAGTCGTTTCAGACCACAGGAAACTGAAAGGAAGAGATTCCATACCCAGAGAAAAGGTGCCGACACTCTTACTTGCTAGGTTTTTCTGAAAGTTAGATCTACCCAATTTCGTTATACCTGACAAAAATAATCTCGGATTAACAGCAATAACGTTCAGATCTGTGGGAGAAAAAATCAGATCCAAGGCCCACAATTCTATCCTATTCTATCGAAAAACCGAATCATAATCATTCCAAATTAGAACAATAAAACAGTACATCCTCAAACAATAATACCCTTCATAATCAATTCTAGGAAGTAGGATATCAATCACCATTGGATCACTTAAATTGCCATATAGTATTCTAGGAACAAATCTGACTTAAGAGTGACTTGATTATTACAACCTAATTGCACAAATTCGAAATAAGCACCACAGAGTAGGGAAAGCAATATTGGAACTATTAGTTAACCGGAAGAACAACCACTGTCAGCAACCAAAATCAACAAGATAAATTCAAGATCTCTGTTGGTTAGATGGGACATGAAACTGAAGGGAATCGAGATAATGATATCATACGGGACATATGTAACACTAACAACAATATTAAAACTGAGATGAGCAACAAACTGGATCCTAAAGAATAAATTTCATATCAAACAAGAATTTGAAGGGAAATTCCATACCGGCAGACGCGGCTTTGGTTGATGACAGAGTTTTAAGGGAGAAGGAACTCCATGGTTTACTCCTCCTCGTACCTGATATATTCTCAATTAGCAACAACATTATAAATCAAGTCGGTTCAGACCACAGGAAACTGAAAGGAAGGGGTTTCGTACCCAGAGAAAAGGTGCCGACACTCTCACGCCAGCCTGCTAGGTTTTTCAAAGAGTTAGACCTACCCAATTTCGTTATACCTGACAAAAAAGAAAAAAAAAATCTCGGATTAACAGCAATAACGTTTAGATCTGTGGGAGAAAAAATCAGATCCTAGAGAGAGAGATATTTCAACGAGAGTTCATATTCATACCTGTTGTGGGAGGGCGGCCGAGATTTTCAAAGGATGTCGCAAGGTTTTGCACATCTTCCACCTCCGTACAAGACATCGCTATGGCTCGGTTATGCAATTCTGAGGTTATTTGTCTCCTTACAGAATTTTATATCACAAATATAACCTGCCTTGGAGTCGGTTAATTATGATCCAAGGGGCAAGGCCCACAATCCTTTATCGAAAAACCAAATCATAATCATTCCAAATAAAAAAAATAAAATTCAATATTTGAATATTTTTCAAATAACTAGTACGTGGTTCGTGTGATACACGGGAAACAATATTACAGTTGTATTACAAATTAAATATATAAATAACGTTAATCATGACTTACCCATTATTTTTAAAACCAGACCGAATCAAACAGACTGAACGGATGGACCGAGAACCGGCTTATCGACCAGTCCGGTTTGCTTGAATAATTTTTTCTAGAGAACTAGTCAAAAACATCGGTCGGACTGGTAGTATCAGCACAATTTTTTAAATAAATTTTGTTATATTTAAAACTATTTTTAATTTAAATAAAAATATATATTTAAATAAAATAGAAATTTATAAATTATTTATCATTTAGTTTAAACAGTAAAAATTTTTAAATTTTTCAAATATTTAATTAATATTTTTTAATGATATTATTATAAAAGCACTATATATATATATATATATATAAGTATTTAGTAACGATGACAGTGAGAATGAGAAAGAATTTACGAGAAAGATAATCTTTTTATTACTTAATTACGAGACCGGCTTCGGATATTGAGGTCAGCTGTTCTCTTACACTTGGGAATAATATCAGTCATTTTGCAGAATAAATATAGAGAGAAAGAGTTGGTAAATGAGAATGATCAACAATTTATAGTGACCCTAATATGCTACTGTTTACGTACTGTTCACCGTGTCATTTCGCACAGTAACTCGGAGTGACAGGCCGGCGTCGCTCTAACAGGTGTTGTAGCAAACTATTTTTATTTTACCGAGCACTGAATCGAATGATTCGTTTCCCGGGTCGATCTCTCGAGGAAGGCGGTTCGGAATTTAGAAGTGGTATCGATAACACATAAAAGCAAAATAAATCCTACACATTCTAATCACGATAGGGTTGGAAAATTATCAACTAAGAAATAACAAAAGACGATAATCTACCTAAAAATATAAACGATAAAAAGATAAACGAGCTAGGGTATCGGGAATAATCGCTTCTGGTTCTACACACATTCAATGGCAATCAATAATTCGGTTAAATGGTTCGACTAACTAACTCATTTAGCGGTTTAACCTCACTAACTCTCGTAATATGAGGATAAACATAAAAGAGCAAATTAACAAAACAATTATCACATAGACAATACGTCTCCTAACATGACTACTCTAAACGAGTTAAATTCTACCAATTTTACCCCTCTCGGTTTTGAAATCGATAATCTCTACGACTCCTCCCCTTTCTGTTCTAAAAGTCGCAATTCGTAGAATTAATAAACTCTAATCCAACAAATCAATATTCAATCACAAATCGAAGTGTCACTCTTCGATTATATCAACAAATTGACCTAAGTGTCACTCTTAGGTTATAAAAGTTTATCAAGTATGATTTTTATCAATTCATAATTAAAACAACTCGTCAAGATTGAGCTATCGTCATGCACGTAAATGAGAACAAATCGGAATAATTATCCGATAACCCTAGCTAATGGATTAGTTGCTCATAACAATTTCAACATAAACATTCACATGAAAATAAGTCATTCTCAACATAAACAAAATGAAAGAGATAACTTACTATTAATGTAAAATTCACAAGTCAAGAGCAAATGCAAACTTAATCCACAATACAACAATGTCTTCAATAAGTTCTCCAAGAAACACAAAATAAAAACTTAAGAAAAACTTAGGAAAGAGAATGAAGAAAGATGGTGAAGAAGTAGAGAAGGAGAAGAGGGGGGGGGGGGGGGGGGGGG